GAAAATGACCCGCTTTACCCAGACAAGCTCCCAGGTGAGCCTCCCCACCCCACTTCACAAGGTTGAGAAGTTTAATGAGGGAGGAGCCCACATTGTTCATAAAAAAAAAAAAAAATACTTCCACTTTGTTTTATTTTTTTAAAGTGCAGTTCTTCAACTATTTCATTTTTAAAACGTCATCTGTAAAGAAAGAAAAAAAATAGTGCGTTTAATTCAAACGGTGATTTTTAACAATCCCATGATAAGTGAATGATGAAAACTTTGGGTCAGATTTGTAAACTGTGGAAGACCCTCGTTCGAGGACGGGTGCCCTGTCAGGAGGGGGTGACCTAGGAGGTTTGATTTTGGGGGCAGCTAGAAGATTTCTGCTTCCCCCTCACTTCCTTCCCTTCACTTATGGGCTTGCGGATGCCTGAAAGAAATTCTGTGAATGTCAGCCAGGAGTAATGGCAGACACCCATAATCCCAGCTCCTTAGGAGCCTGAGGTAGGAGGATCGTGAGTTCGAGGCCAGCCTGGGCAACATGAGACTCTGCCTCTAAGAAATAAGTAAATAAACATTCTGTGAGTGTCCTCTGCCTTCAGACTCTGTCTTCTGAGACTGCAGAGGGTGGGCCAGTCTGTTATTCTGAGAGCGCATAAACCCTACCATATTCTGACCCACTGAGTAAGTGAAGAATGCCTTGCCCTAGAGCAGGTTTTATTTTTAAGATTTTTTTGCCTTAAAGTGTGTGTGTTCCCTGGAGAAAGAGAGAGCCAGGCACAGTGAACAGGAAACTGAGACATCACCCCCCAGGGAGGATGGCCACACCACAATCCCTTCTCCTCCATTCTCCTTCTGCTATCGTGGGCACACGAGAACATGCGCCACTGGGTCTGGGACCCGAACCTCAGTCGGCCATGTGGGAGTCCAGTGACATAAGCGCTATGCCATCTGCTGGTCCCATAGAGCAGATTTTAATAAAGAGAAAAGGGCACTGGGCCCTAGAAGGTTCATTTTCATACAAACAATTCAAACTAAAGTCACTAACGATGACACTCTGAGACACGTGACCACCACGTTAGATGTTCCTCAAAAGAAGAAATTATGCATATATAAACTTTAAGACTGCTAACATCTTCCAGCGAGAAATACCCAAATACACTCACCTCCCTACCCCACTCCCCAAAACAACAAACTCTGATGAATCTTTTATAGCATGGGTGAATTCACTCCCTTATTTTTTCTTTCTTCTTTTAAATTTTTTTTTTGCCAGAGGGCATGTGCTCTGCCAGAGAGAAAGAACGAGAGGAAAATGAGAAAGCACCCTCCGTGAGCATGGCCACACCACAACCCCTTCTCCATTTTCCTTTTGGGAGTCTGGGCATGCACACACGCGCGTCTAGCATGTTTTTCCAACCATCGGGTCCAGGACTGGAACTGCGCGGCTGGCTATGTGGGATCCAGCTGCCTTAATGACTATGCCGCTGGCCCCGCTCTTCACTTACTTTCAACTCGGGTTTCTGATCCTCGTCATGTACTTGTCTGGGTCGGCAGCGCTCATTACCGTAGTATAAATCGTGAAACTGAAAGTAACGAGAAGGATTTTCACACATGCAGTATTCACAGTGGCCCTGGGCCTGTGGAGGGTCCTTACACCAAGGGAGGATCCCGGCCAGAGAAGGCCAGAACGGGGCCTCTAGAGCACAGGGATTGGGCAGGGCGCCCCCTTTGCCCAGCTCTAATGATGAAACACGTGATGTCACTTAGTCACGTTCTGTACACCCGGAGACCTACACAGCTTGAGCCCATGTGCACACACGCATGCGCACACACACCAGGGCCCACTCCCTTCTGCCCTTTTCCAATGTCAAGGAAACCAGCTGGGCGCATGCTCTCAGCATCTGGGGCTAGGTTATTGGGGAACAGGCAGAACTGGCGGCGCCGGGCTGGATGGCACGCCTGACCGAAGACTGCATTATCCAAGTGGGAGTTTCCTGAGCAGAGCTCAGCTGCTGCCGTCCTTAGTCATCAGTGTTCCAGTATTTTCTCTGAGCGACATAGCAGAGGATGTGCCATTGCAGGCGGGTGTAATTTTGCACCAGAGCACAAGGGGGCAGCCTGGAGCGCTTTGTGCGCGGACCTTCCTATTAAAGGCGCACACAGGAACAGCCTTGGGGAGGGGAATCATTTCAGGGACAGGGCCTGAGAGTGTGTGTGGGAGGTCTGTGCACACTCCGGCTCAGTGGGCACTGTCATTCAGACGCACTTCCTCCTGGGCTTTCCGTTATAGGGTAGAGAAAAAGGCTACTCGGTACTCTCTTTGTAACTGCTAACAGTTCTATTCTGACAAAACGTTTCAGAACAATTTGAACATTCATGGCCTTTCTCACAGTAACCTACTTCTGGGAATTTAGCCAAGAGAAAGAATCCCGTGTGTGTGTGTGTGTGTGTGTGTGTGTGTGTGTGTGGGGGGGGGGGTATGTACAAATGTGCGATTT